GTTTTTTTTTTTGTTTTTTTTTTTGTTAAAGTCTTGCTTACGCCATTCGCAACATAACATCATAAACAAGAAACTATTTATAGAAGCGCATTATATTTTTTTTAAAAAGAAAATTCAAAATTTATCTCTTAATAGTTCGAAATTTCAACATCATTTTTCATTGCTTTAAGACATTGGAATAATCTACTTAGAAATACTTCATTGTTGCAAATATTTTTGAAAAATTTAAAATTAGGCTCACATTTTTTTATATTCTAATCGACCTATATAATCTAAGTTTTATACTTTCCATGTTTCGAAAGGTACTTAAATAGATCATTAGCTTATAGTTTCAAATTAAATAAAGATAAAGGTATTATAAAAAAAAATACGGACTATTCTGTAAAGATTAACTTCTTCCACGTTTGGCAAGAAAATTAAAATAAAAATTTACATTCCACCAAAAATCAATACTATTTATGCAAGCGCTAAAAAATACAGAAACAGTAATGTAAATCCTTCATAGTCATTAAGCGATCTCAAAACATATTTAAAAATAACAAAAAACAGCAAGTAAAAAAATTCGACTTCACAATATGGCAAGAACTATTTTTTTAATGAGCGAAGAGACGCTGACGGTACATTCACTCATAAAAACCTGATTAAAAAAGAGAGAAAGAATATTTATTTAAAGTATAAAAGGCGGTTTAATTTTTTTTATGATAAACAAAAAAGATGATAGATGTGAGAAATGTAGAGATTCATAATATCTGAGTAAATAGAGTGTGTTGCAAAACAATTTATTAGAATTTTTTTTACCTCTCAACACTGATCTTTAAAAAGTATTTTTCCCTAGAATTTTCCCTTTATTCAACGTGATAAATGATTTGTCCTGTGATAGCAAATCAGATGATCGGAAGTGTGGGATAAACTGTAATCCGTAAAGACTACGTTATATTCAACCTGATAGATAGTAGTTATTTTTCAAAGTGCTCGCATTTTATATATTTAAATAATTATTGATGTGTTCTTTAAAAAAAATATTTGTCTGAAGCCATTATTTTTCCCTTTAACGTTTCAGTACGTATTTCAATGCATAAGAGGTATTTCAGACATTGAAAAATGAATTTTAAATAAGAAATTAGTTTTTAAGTTACATTAATTATATTTTCTAATATTAAATGTAGTGCTAATGTTAAGGAATAGCGAAGAGCATAATATCAATATTTTCAAACAATGCAAAAAAGATATTTTAAAAACTATAATCACTATTTATACGTTTCGCAATAAATATCGAAAGTACGATAATTATTAACAATGATAATATCGATGCAATTGTTGGGAATGACAAATATTGATTGCAATAATGTCGAGAGTTTTATGGAAAAAAATAAAATGGAGAGTATTATCTACAGTAATTATCTAATACGATATTTTTGATGTGTGTTGGTAACTTTATTTGTGTAACAAAAATATGGAACTACGAAAAAATAGTGTTTATTAGTTTAAATGAAGAAAAAAAATTGCTCTATATCGTCATTCTAATAATGTATCGTTTATTTTGATGATTCGAATGATATTGATTTCGAATCATTATTTCATTAAAATCATGCTGCTTTGAACACAATTGATTTTTTTTATTTTTATTTATTATTATTATTTTTTTTTGTGATAGCAAATCAGATGTTTGAAAGTATTGCTGTATTCCGTAAAGACTATGTTATGTTCGACCTGATCTATAGCAGTAATTTTTCTAAGTGCTCGCATTTTACATATTTAAATAATTATTCACGTGTTCTACAAAAAATAAATAAAAATCTAAAGCCAATATATCCCTTAATGTTTCAGTACATATCTCAATACAAAAAAAAAAAAAAAAAAAAAAAAAAAAAAAAAAAAAAAAAAAAAAAAAAAAAAAAANAAAAAAAAAAAAAAAAAAAAGCATTTCAGTTATTGAAAAATGATTGTAAAACTATGAATTATTTTTTCTAATCCTAAATATATATCTTATTAAGGCAAGGAATAAAGTTGAGTGCTCACCCAATATTTTAAAATATAATTTTTTAAATATTTTAATGTTAGAAAATACTTAAATATTTAAAAAAATATTCACGATATATCATGAGGATTATGCTTTGAAATGTATATAGAGTGCGCAAAAGCTACAAAGTGCGATATTATCGGTGTCATTATCGGGCACGATAAATATTGATTACTATAATGTCGCGAATGTTAACGAAAAAGGGAAATTATTATCGAAAAAAAGTAATTAACTAAAGCGATATTATCATGAGTGTTGATGCATTTTACTTGCGCAAAAAAAAAAAAAAAAAAAAATATGGACCAATGTAAAAATTGAATAAAAAGAAAATCCGGATATATTAGGAAACATCAATATTTTCTAATGATAGATCGCTATATTAAAATTCCGATATCACCCAGTAGATAATTGATGGAGCTTGGGTTTATGTATTTATTTTAAGTCGTTAAATAGCGTAGAAACTAGATCAAGTACTGGATGATTCAAAAAAGCAACAATTATTTGCAGTGATGTTACTAAAAAAAATTGGATCAAAGATAATATTGAATATTACAAGCATTTGTTTCAAAGTTTGAGAAAAAAATATTCTGAAATAATAAAAAAAATTTATTTGACAATTGAATTTAAGGTGAAGAAAAAATATTTTTCAATAACTTTTGAAATTATTTAAATGATTAATTAATAAATTTTTATTATTTAAAAAAAATTACTATATTTCATTAAAAGTTTTTTAAATTTGGATTATTTCAAATTACATCAAATTCCTTCACTATATCCAACGCAGTCTTAAATACTAAATTTTTAGTATTTGATTCACTAATAAACAACATAATAAACAATAGTGTTTAGATTATTTTTACTTTTAAGAAAATATCCAATTTTCTGAAAACTTCTAAAAATCAAAAATAATAACAAATTTCGCAAAATTTTGTTATATCCAGACAGTAACGGATTTAATATGATTTTGTTTACTATATGAAACCTATGCAATTATATGTCATAAGGTGTTTTTCTGAATAATCTGCTTTACAAATTGATTTACAAATTTGTTATGAAAATTTTGAAAGCAATAATTTCGATAGTAAACAGTAAAATCAGACATGAATGTCTTCTTTACAAATTAAGTAAAATTGTAGCTTTTATGAAACTTATTGTAGCTTTTATGAAACTTTTGAAAGCAATAAATTTCATAATATACATTTGACTCAGGCATCTTATTTTTGTCCCTTTAAATTCTGAAATTAATTACAACCCTACGAAAGCACTAATCTATATTGGTTTCTAATTACCAAACCAATATAAATAAATATTTTATAAGCAATTCACTTTCTTGCTAACGGTGAAGTATGTAAAGATAGTCTACTTTTTAATACGAAAATTAATTAATACACTCGTCAGTTTGATTAAAACCAGAGATAATAAAAAAATTTCTCCTTCAATCAACAAAAAAAAGAAGAAAAAAAAAAAAGAATCATTAAAACAAACACTCACAGGAAAGAAAAAAATTCGAAGATTGGTTTTTAGATGATATTCTGCTACACGCAAAGTTTTATTTCTTATAAAAAAGACACAACTGAATAGTTAAAGAAAGGTAAAGATAAGGGGAAAAAGTCAATAAAAAAATTCCCTTTGGACCTTTCTTTAATAAAAGCATTTTGCACTTATACTTCACCAAGAAGAACTTGCGTGCGAGCAACTTGGAGTTGCGTGGCTTTGCAACAAGAGCTCTAAAATAAAGAATTTTTTTTTCTTTAAATAAAAGGCAAGAGATAAATCGACATCTGCCATCGAAGTATTCAAAAAAATTTCACCTGTTCTTATTACCTTTTTCTTTAATGAAAATATTATTTTTGTTTTGCAAAGGTCAAAAGAGACCGTTGAGGATATCGAAAGAAGAATATCGCGATAAATCATCAATATCGATGTATCACGATATTTTCTGTCTAAATTATATTCTTACATTTAATTATATTTCAATTACACAAATGAAACTTATCAGATCTAACGATAATACTAGCGATATTATCGAACTGGATACAGTCATCGAAAACGATCCTCATTGATAATGTCATGATAATCAATAATACATTTAATAATTATCGCTATGAATATTACTCTCGACATAATTGTATACGATATGTATCGTTTTCAATAGTTTCACAGGTATTATCGTTTTCGATATTTATTGTATGTTCGGCATTTATCGTCATACTCAATTCACGATAAATCACCCGAAAACATTTCAAAATATTGTTATCAAGATGACTTAAAATATCGATAATTCACTTCACTATACATCACTCTCAGCTTTAGTATCATGCAACTTACTTACATTCACAATAAATTTACGAAAGGATGATGACTTTATATAAAATATTTTCACTGTGCAATACGGTGTCATACCCTAGAAATGTTACTTATGTTATTCAATAATCAAAATACTATAACGAGCTAAGCGTAAACGTTATTACTAAGTCAACGTAACGAAATATAACTGCGTTGTCAACTATGTATGACGCAAACATAAAGGGAAGAAACATCGCTAAGGTGATTGTGGATTGGGACTCGTTATTGGCAAAGGAAAGTGGACAATACTCTGTGTCTGAGGAGAAAAGCTCAAATTTTTTTAAAACTGTTGAATTTTTGCAATGGATATTCGAAAGTAGCTTTAATAATTAATTGAGCAATGATAGTGCATACGCTAGCATCTTTCAAGTTCATCAGCGTTACCATCAATTCTCATAACTAATAAAGTAGTTGTGTGTTCCAAAAAAAATTAAGTAAACTTCCTCGAGCATTAAAATCTAAAAATGACCATAAACAAGGTGTAGAGTTAGGATTTTCCATTTCCATTTAAGTTGCATTTAAAATTGATTTTAATTTTGGGACTTTCACAGCAAAAATTGTCGATCCTTCTAATGTATATAAGGTAACATAAATGAATGTAAATAAAAATAAGTAAATAAATAGTCGTACTTACCGTTACCATGCAATTTTGGCTAGGATTGATGAAATCTAATCCTCTGTCACCAAATCCATTAAAGCAGTGTTGAATATTCTGTGTAAATTTGCGATGCACAGCAGAGAGAGCATAAACACATAAAGCAGAGTTAGGACTTGGTTTGTTGTAAATATCAGATTCATCTTTGGATTTGGCAAAAACAGCAAAAAGAACATCGTCTTGAGCTGCTATGCCTAAAGAGACTGCTAATTCAGAGCCAGGCCTACCCACATAAGCTGCCTGAGCTAAGTTATAATCAGTTCCATCAGGGGCTCGACACATAAGTGGTACTTCTGTATATGAATAGTAATGCACATCTTCATGACATATACGCACGAGCTTAGATATGAAAGGTTTCGGTGGATCCGTAAACTTCTTTTGAACGGTAACAAAATACGAAAAACCTTTCGAGCTGAAGCCATACACATATGTGATAGGATATATTTCTCTGGACATACTATTGACCATGACTTTGGTACCCGTAGTGACACCTGTATGAGCAATTGCAAACATATTATTCGGATCAAGACTTCTGCTGCTGACAGCAGGTACATCAGACCTATACGGTCCATTACCGGTATATGAAACACCGACATACAACACGTGCATTCGGGGTAAACTTTTAGGTCCTTGAGCTATGAAAGCTACTGTGGAAGCCGTGGAATTGTTGGCAACGACAGATTCATTAGCAGGTGTCACAAAATTCGTGACATCGTTGAGGTTATGCACTGTACATATACCCTGAAAAAGGCTACCACAAGCTATCAACCTACTTTGAGGATAGTCAATCACTAGAGCCTTATTGTGGTAATCAGTTGGTCTTTTTGCTTCGTTGGGGCATATTCTGGTAACTGGACATTTCGGACTATCTTCTTGTGGACCTATGACAGCAATAGCTTCCACTTTTAAATCCCTAGACAGTTGGTAGATCCTGTTTACCGCTCCAATATAAACTTTTTCTGTGTAGTCATGCACAGTCAAATGATTAAATTTTTCAGTCATTGGATCTTCAAATGCGGCAAAGTTCTCATCTTCCAAATCTTGTTGAGCCAACACAGTCGGTGGGACAAACAGGAAGAGCAATAGAAGTGGAGTTATGGCTAGTTTGATTCGCCGACGGATCTGCATCACGGCTACTTCAAGAGACTTCACAAAATTTTATAAAATTAGTTCTCCTGCAAAAAGAGTAACCAATTATTACTAGTTTAATGATATACAATAATTTGAAAACTAAACTAAAATCTTTAAAATAAAATAATAAAAATAATAAAAATCACTAATTACAAACGAATTCATATTAATAAATTGGGTTAAACCAAGGATATAAAATTATTATTAACCATCAGCAAATGAGAAATTCACCCATCAAACGTAAATGAATACATGTTAATGAATTAGATCTAAAACTGAAAATAAAATTATATGTAACCACGAGCAAATGAATTCATTTTAATAAATTAGATCTAGACGTGCAAACAAAATTATGTCAAATCCATCAACAAATGAATTCATGTTAACTGATATCAAAAATAGGTTTTGATAGGTTATTTTAGATACAAAGAATCTGGATAGTTTAACACAATTTTGTGCTTTGCATTTTTCTATATTCTATAGCTTTAAAATGCTTAAAGAAATCTTAAGAAGAATGTGACGCAATTTTCGCCCCCATGTCTGTTGTTTTTATTCCTGACTTATTTTAGAAAATGTCACCACCTACGGAGTAAGTAATACTTTCTAAGACTAAATAAAATGAATCACTTCTTGGAGAATTACGCGCACTTAATTTAAGACACCATTTAGCAGTTACTTTTAAGTAATTTAAAAAAATGTAAGACAGAGTATAAATATTAAAAGAGCTACTTCTATTAACGTTTACTCATTTTAATGATTTAATTTTGTTTTAAAAATTTTTTAAGTGATTCCCCATAGATTTTTTTCGTATTTGAATGCCATAATTAAATTTATTTTATATACTTATATTTAAATAAAACAGCTATTTTTTATGAGATTTCTATGTTTTATTTCAGGTAAATTTGTAAAATGGTTGACATTTGCATTTTCAAAATTTCATGATGTTTTTCATAGAAATGACAAAATTATTTCCAATGTACCACACCTGAATATATTAGGTATAGAGAGTTGCAGATGTGTAACACTAAAATCTTATGTTTATAAACTACTAAAACTATATTTTTACAAGTTTATAAACATAAAACTAGCAAACACTAAAACAATGTTTATTTATTGTTGTTGAGGAAAATTAAAAATAAAAACATACTTAATTTATAAGATTTTATTACTTGCCGTAAATTATATTTAAACTTTTCTGAATCAATACGTAATATAAATAAATACAAAAAGCAAAATCAAGTACAGATATTAAAGTATCACATATTTTAGATAAGAGATAATTTAATCTTGCATGACAGCTGTAATTAAATAGAAGGATCTTTACTAACATTTAAGAGTGTGAATTGGATACAACTGATCCTTTATATGGATTTAAATCAGGATTAGAATTTATACCAGCCAATAATCTATAAGTAGTCTATCTAAAAGCAGAAAAGTGCAGGGAAATAGAGATAAGAACAACCAATAAAAATAGAAAAAGACAATCACTTGATAAAAGTCATAAAATTTGCTAATAAAATGAATTTCTTAACAGCTAGTAAAAGATAAATTTGTGATTAAACTGATTTGAAACTTAACCTAAAAGAGTGCGTCTATTAGTCTGAATTCTTCAAAAAGTCACGCTCGAATGGACGACAAACATTGAATAAGTATTAAAAGGGAAAAGGTTGCGGTTATTACTATAGGTTTGAAAAAGAGAGATTCGTCGTCAAAAGTTTATTCAACTGTTTCAGTTTACTTGTAGTTTAAAACTACTGCCCAATTTGCACTTTGCTTTTTCATATTTCTATCTGGAAATCTCGAAATACATTTACAAATTGAAATATATAATTAATTAAATCTTCTAAGCCCGCATGAAAATCTTTTTGAAATCGGTCGTAAATTTTATTCGATTACCACTTATCGTATTTGAAGCAGAATAAAATAAAGAATTTAGATAAGTATTTGTTGTAAGAGCGGGAGTTCGGTTTTTCCTTAGTCACGGATCTATTTTTCTGAAATGAAGGAAATTAATTGCCGTAGTTTTTGCATAAATACCAAAACGTAATATTTAATTGCTGGTTCACGAACTAGATTTTTTCACCATATACAATCGCAATCAAATGAGACAATCGCAAATAAAAAATAATCTCCAATTTGGCAAGATTTTTCCGCCTCGATCAAAATTATCGAATTGAATGAATAAATAATATTTAATTTTCCCACATTTTTTATGAGCCCAGATATTGGAAAAACTTTTTCAATTTAAACACTTAAAACTGAGATTAAAAACGCCTTTCTTTTACACAATACAGTGGCTTTAGAGAGCACTGGCTAAATATTAGGTAAACTTGATTTAACAGTTATGAATAACAGTTGAAAATTCACAACAATTATGCAAATAGCATATTATTCACAAAAAACCTTATATTTCAAGCAATTGTGAAGCCTTCGGAAAACAGCGTTAATTGAATAAGTCTAAAAAAAAACCAACCACGCTGTATCAGAAATGAAAAGTCTTTTAAAAGATGCTTTTAAGGTGAGTTAACAGAAGTCATTTAGAAATCTTTCAGGTAGGTCAGACTCATCTACCAGCAGCAAACACATCTGAAGATCCCTTTCTAAAAGCTTTTATTTAGATAAGAAGCGGCACAGACATTTCTTCAAAGCATCATGATGACAGTGATGAACAGTTAATGGAAAAACAGTAGAAAACCCTCTTCCTACAAGAACATTCAAGCCAGCTTCTGAAGAATAATTTTAGAGGGTACAGAGAACTCGACGGGAGGTCTTTCTTCAATGTCTTTTCATTTGAAATGAGTCTCTAGAGTCAATGGTGGTCCTATTCCTACTGAAACCACATGGTGTTTCATGGGGAAAAAATGAAAAAGAAAAAAATATACTCAGCACGAGGCTTTTCCGGAATGAGAAATCTAGAAGAAGGCATCAGATAGTTGTATGTTTAAAAGAGGTGTGTCCAGAGGTATTTTAATTTAGTTGATTTGATTGCAAAATACCTTGCAAGTTACTTTATTTGCACCCGTCTCACAAGGTGATATTGAAAGCTTGGGGTACTTTTAAGAACAATAAGAAATCATTAGTTATTGTATCCATTGTTTGAAAAATCTAATATTGTAATCTAAATTCGTAATTTCAATATTTTCCTTTATAATTGGAGATAAATTTTATACATCGTGTTAACATTTAATAGAATTTCAAGGTTAAAGTCAAGTTTTATTCTAAAAAATATTGATTTATTTTTTTGACTGACTGATTAGATCAAATCAGAGTTGATTTAATGAACTCATTTAAAATATGGTTGTCAAGACAAAAAAATACATTTATTTTATTTTTTCACTTTTTATGCTACTTTTCGTTTCCTAAATTCCGGATCCCAAAAATTGGCACTAGCACCTAAGTAAGCACTATGAATATTTCCAATAATAAACAGGAAAGAAACAATTTCAGATAATTGCACATCAACTCTCTTAGTTTCTGGGCCATATTTACCAATCACTAAATTGGCAATGACATTATTACCAGTATATTTGCAAACATTTTCTACGGGTACTTTCAACTATTTTCACTGTAATATTCGCAATTCCCGATTATTGGCATCATATCCATATTTCCTATTTTCTTTATAAGCAAATTTAATAATCCCTTATTGTAGAGAAGCATTATGACCACCTTTAACCACTGCCAGCTGGATGTAAGTCTTACCCTAACTTTCTTGAATATTTTGATTTACAGATTTCGACTTAAGTCTATCACTGATGTCAAAAGCTTTGTTTCGTACTGTTCAAAAATAATATACCCATTAAAAGAAATAAATGTATAAATATTTTTTAAAAATTTTCCTATGATAGTGTAAAAAATAAATAACTTTTAACATATTCACTTTTAACTAAGAAACCTAAACCCTTAATATTTAATACACTATATTAAAACTCTAATAAACGAACCTGATCCAAAATTCAAAAAGGCTAAACTAAAATCAAATCTGCTCTCCACTGAAACTAATGATTGCAAATCAGGTCTTCAAAATGTAAAATTGTAGAACGCGACTTGGAAGAAGTCATATCACAAAATACTATCTGATTACCATTTTATTCTTTGTAATTAGGGAATGAATAAATTCTGATCTCAATATCGTTTCCAAATAGCCTTAGTTTTGTGAGGAAATATCATTTCTTGTTATTCAATATGTTGCTTTCAGAAGAAATAGTATTACAGTTTCATGAAGCAAATCAAAACAAGTTGGTCGCTTTCCCTCGATGAATATCTTCCATCGTTTATTGTTATGAAATATTATGCTACTTGGAAAGTTTCGAATAACGTGATGTTTCGTAAATGAATATTTCCATGTCGGTCTTCAGTAACTACAACAAACAAAATAAAGAGTTGCGACAATTTCTGTTCAGCGTTAAAACAAATACATACATAAATATTTATTTAGTTGTCTTAAGATGATGAAAAAATAAATAACTTTTAACATATTTACTTTTAACTAAGAGAGCTAGACCATTAACAATTTATATATTACATTAAAACCCTGATAAACAAACATGATCCAAAACTGAAGAAAGCCCGAAAACTAGCCTAAAATCACATCTTCGCTCTATTGAAACTAATTATTGCAAAGCAGTCTTCAAAATCTAAAATTGTAGAACGAGACTTTGTCGAAGTTTTATCACAAAATACAGCCTGATTACCATTTTATTCTTTGTAATTAGGGTATGAAGTTAAATTCTGATCGCAATATCGTTTCCAAATAGCATTAGTCAAGTAAGGAAATATCATTTCTTGTTATTCAATATGTTGCTTTCTGAAGGAATAGCATTACGGTTTCATGAAGCAAATCAAAACAAGTTGGTCGCGTTCCCTCGATGAATATCTCCCATCGTTTATTATTTTGAAATATTATGCTACTTGGAAAGTTTCGAATAACTTGATGTTTCGTAAGAGGATATTTCCATGTCGGTCTTCCAGAAACTACGACAAACGAAATAAAGAGTTGAGACCATTTTCGTTCTGCGGAAATGTTTGACTCTAAAATCTTTTC